TTTTTCTCGGCCCCCCCCCCCCCCCCCCTACAGGTAATGGCGAAATTGTTTCATGCCTTCGTCGCGCGCGCCCACGTCGAATATGCGCCGGGGACTGCCGGTGCGAATTTTCCCGAATTTTCTTTCTTGACGGGCGAGATTGCCGAGCAGACCTCTGACTAGTCGAGACGATTATTCGAAAACTGGCGGATAGCCGCTGCAAGCTGAGTTCAATTCTCTGGCATGCCATTGGCTGATTATTCAGTGAAATGTAAGGTCAATACTACGATCTTGTTTGGCTGTTACGTACAAAATGTGAGACACCGAGAGGAAAAATGTCCGAAGAGTAAAAAGTAGTTCAAGTATTTACTTGATCCAAGCAAAATGGTTACTTCGATACTCCTTGCGCAGAAAAGAAATGAGTCTCAAATCAAGAATAGATATTCTTATGCTTATATAAGGGAGAATATTATAATCCTCTCAGAAGACTTTTCAGTCTTGATTTGATTGAATTTGTGTTGATGCAAGTATTACGTGAACTCAATTCGAAACTAAAAATATTTAATATAACATGCTTGCTTATATATGAGGATATCCATTTGATTTAAGACTAATTTTTTTTTCTGCGTGACAAATAAAATAAATATTATTTATCTTTTAGATATTTTTCCTCCCGGAGTTTATAATCTAAAATGTATAATCTAGATATTGTCACTAGCGTATTGAGATCAGGTAGCAAATCAAAATTGGTGGTTACGATGTTTAAAAAAATTTTGGAAAAGCAGAATGTAAAAAAAAATCTTGGAAAAGCAGAAGTGAGCGTTATCTTATTGGTTGTCGATTAGTTAGCATTCTTTGTCTCAACTGTAATTTCTCTAATCTAGCCGTCAGTTAACTTATTTATATAGCCGCTGGGGCACAAATGAGCATTGCATTACAATTTCTGTGACCGGACAATCACGAGGTTCAATTTCTATTCGGGCTCGAACGGGTACGACGAATTCGGTCGATTCGATTACGGCACTTTTTCTCCGGCGACGACGGCGAGATTAAAAATGACGGAGTGCTCGTAGCTGCTTATCGCAGCCGTTTATTGTAGTTTCATTGCGCCGTCGTCGGCGAGGGGGGACGATAAAAGGACTCGCTGCTGCTCAGAGGAAGCCGAAGTGTTTCATTACGGTAATTGTAGCGCGCGTAATTCTATATCCCGCTGCCTTTTAGTATAATCCTGGCGAGCGTGCACGGTTACGCGATCCTCGCAAGCGCGGCGAGCGACTAGTCTCCCGCTTAATGCCCGTACGTAAGTCACAATTTATTTTGCAAGTCAATATTATTGGCAGCCCGCCGTAATTGTGCGTTCAAACGATATAACGATGGTCGGCGCTATGCAGATGGCACAGTTAGCGGATGCCGCGCGTAGTTCGTCGGGGTTGGATTAATGTAGACGCAGCTGCGGCTCACGGCCGACCGTGATCGTAAATCTAAGTTAATCTCAGATTCGGGAGAGAGAGAGAGAGAGAGAGAGAGACCTACGCTCAACATCGACGTCTCTCGTCAAGTCGGGCCAGACGGCAGAAGTCGACGGCTCGCGAAATTAAAGTTCCCCGATTTTTGGCCGGCGCAATCTGTGGACGCGCGTTCGGCGCGTCAGAATATCTCCCGCTACGAAGATTTCAATATACATGTAAAGGTGGAAAATAAAAGGATATGTAGATTACATTAGAGATGTATAATCCTTAATTCGTATTGTTGCGATTTTATCACAACGAGTTTATCTCTTACGCGGGGTGTCACCACTTCTATCGCGCTGAGAAAAAAATGTTTGATACTTGTAACTACATATAATCGTACGAGTGAAAGAGTTGTAGTCAGCATTCTTTTAACAGGTTATTATAGTGTCAGTGAGAATAACCTTACATGCATATTGTTGCTAATAATTTGTGGGCTAAAACCGAAAGAAGTTCAGTGGGATTCTTTTCGGTGCGCATTATTTTATAACAGGATTCTCTGGATCCGGAAGCGATCTCTCTCCGGCGAAAATGTCGACGGAAATGATCGTTTTCAGCGGTCATCTAATTTGCATTATCTTCTTCAAATATTCAATTTTGCAACAACCGTTCCGATCTTATCTAAAGTGGCCTCTTCGTCGAAAAATAATCGAGGAAAGTAGGTTAATGAGTGGTTCTTCGAAAAGCTCTTTTTTCGTATAACTTATAATGTATTTACTTATTTCACAGGCTGTCGGTGTACCTCTCGACATTTCCGTTCAAAAATATTTCGATCCTAATTCGTCTGATCGGTGATTGAAAAACGGTGCTGAAGAAGGGGGCCATCTTGTGTATGTGAAGACGCAAAAATTGTTGCGCAACTGATTTATAAAAGAAAGAAAAAACTAATGCTGAAGAAAAGGGAAATACAAAAACACCAAGCAGAAGTAACATTGTCAATCAACAGCAGCGACGTTCAAATAAATGTCCCAATTAGTGTCGTAATTCGTGACAATCGCATATGTCCTTCTTAATAAGTCAAATAATACAGCTTCATATTTATCCCCAAAAATGTGTTTTTATTCTAAATTCTACATATTTTATAAGAACCAGAAATTCTGTTTCTTTTTTTCCGTATATTTACTGCAAAATGGTACTTTTATCTCTTTTGAGAACGTACAAATTAATTAAAATTTTATTCTAAATTCAAACAAATCTTATATAATTAGAATTCCAAATGTTTAAACGTTCGAATGAAGTAAATGTTACGTACTCGACACACGTGTGTGTATTATTATAATTTCTTACTTTATCTTCACGACGAGGTTACCTTTGTCACTAATTGAGACATTCGCCTTACTGATATTTCTTCACCGGCCAACGCGATCGGATCGAACATCCCGCGGGTTCGGAAACGAGCGCGACCGAGTGACCTCGCGCTCGCAGTCGTGAGCGCAACGTCGCGACGCAAAGCTTTTTACACGAATCCCTTCGTAAGAAGAAACGTGACACGTGACAGCGAGTTTGATTAACGCGCCGGTAACGACAACATCCCGTCGATGTCTCTTTATTATCAGACGCGAGCTCGCCGGTGAGTCTTGCGGGCGGAAACGAACGCGAGGAGAGTACGAGAGAAGTCACGTTTGCGGCCGAAGTTGTCGCGCCGGATACGGGCGTCGAATAAATTCTGCGCATCGTGCACTTGCCGTCACACGTACGTGCGCGACACACGTAGGTAAGTACGTTTCCCTTGTTTCGACCGCGGATCCAAGACACAAATCTAAGTTATCGTCGGCTGCGCGACGCGCGGCCCCGCGGCGTGTAATGTCTCTCTCTCGTCAGGAAATTCCCGGCGAGCGGACCGCGTCGTTGACGTAAAATGTAAAATGCATGATAACACGCGAGCGATTCCGCGGGGATCCCCATCGGCTTGTTTTCAGCCTCGTCTTCGCGACGAGCCGGCGACGACAGCCGCTCTCGCGCGCTCCTACGTATAATTGGCGTGCCGTTCGCTCACCTATACAAAGCGAGGCAGTGACTATTATTACCTTGAATATCTTGGAAACACGAGAGTACACCCGAGTCGAAATTTGAATGCTACCTTGACGCTCTTAAGGGACAGCTCGCGTCAAATTAGGTGGCGCTGGTAGATCGGTGAAAATCTACTTTGACGACTCTGCGCTTGTTAACTTTTCTCAACACGGAGAAGAATAATTTCGAGGGACGGCGAATTTTATGCTTTGTCGAAGCAAATCGATGAATGAATAAATAATGTGTGTTTTAAACATTGTGTCCGATGTTTTAGGAGTTGATTTTCGAAGTCACCTCGTAAAGAAAGAAAAGTTCACATGAATGTATGTTTAGTTCTTCATAAAATTAAAACCTCAAAAATCGACTCCTAAAATATTGGTGGTACTTGAGAAATATTCTATATATTTATTTGCTGCGACAGTATAAAGTCTGCTGGGTCTTGAAATTATTTTTCTTCGTGTTAAATCTTTAATTCGATAGTTTTAATTTTAATGCTACCTCGAAGCTATAAATATCTCGATGTTTTAATTAAATTAAAAACCTTCTATTTTGACGCTAAAAATAGAAATTTCAAACATTAATCATGTTCAAAGTAAGAGCAAAAGATATCATTAGAATTAAACCTCTTTTGCTATCTTAGCTCTTACTGTTGTAGAATTAAAGACTTAAAATAAGGCCAACCCTTCATCTCGAGAAGGAGACAAATTTATCCAATAAAAATTGTACTGATAACAATAATCACCACCTCGAACACTTTCCGTAAATATAAACTTCATCATCTACACGGTGAAAATATTGTAATAAAAATTATCCGAAATTTTTTAATATTGGATCATACCGGAATTATAATTGAAATCATGATGTGTGTTGTAATCTTTAATGATTTACTTCATTGTACATATCACCAAAATTACAACACACATAATCATTTTAGATACAATTCCGTACACATCACTAAAAATTATAACACGCATAATAATTTCAGTCATAATTCCGGTATGATCCAACATCACAAAATTTTGTAGTAATTTTTGTAGTAATTTTTATTACAATATTTTCTCCGCGTATATCTGGTTAGATATGTTTATCTTCCAAAGATATTCAAGGTAGCAAAAGTTATCGCCTCACCCTGTATATATCGCACATTGGATATATTTATCAGTCGCGACAAGTGTATCGAATCGCGCGCGCCACAACGTCGCTTCCCTCTGCGGCGATAAAAAAATATCCAGTTATGCTGCCGCCTCCGCCCTCTCTCACTCTTTCTCTTATTCTCTCTCTCTCTCTCTCTCTCTCTCTCTCTTTCTCTCTCTAATATTTTCACATATTACATCGGGGAGCGATGTCGAGTGTGTTTTTTCTTCCGCTCGCTAATAAAATTGTTTCGGCTCGGGGTAGCGGGATATTTTTCTCATTTATTACGAGCGGCTAAAGTCGTGTGACACGAAATGAACGGTAAACATCACTGGTTGAAATATGCCGATCCGACTGTATTTTCATGAAAGCTCGTTAAAAGCCAACCAGCTGATCGTCAGCGAATAAACACATTCGCTCGAAGTATTTCCTCGGCGGCAAAGGGCGTGGAAGAATTTTCAGTGGACACACATTGTCCTGGTAAAAAAAATCTACCGAAATTTGAAAACTGTGAAACGATTTTCCTTGAAAAGTTATGTTATCAAAATCCGAATACGAGACGATCTCTTCTGAAATAGAATTTTATCGAAATATTGGAATCGTCTAGTTGTATCTGGGTAAATTAGTATCTATTAGTTTGAGTATAGCATAAATGTATCCAAACGGGTAAACTAGAAACTAGAGTAAAGAAAAAAGTATTTGGTATTTGTAACTACAATCGACAGTGAAAGAATTATAGTTGGAAGAACCAACTATTGTTGTTTTGTTACTATTACTATAGGTTACTACAGTAGGCATTATTACAATGATAGTAATAATAATTTTATATACACACTGCCGCTACAATTTTTTGGAATAACAAGAAAATATAGTTGGTGTCGAAATAACTATAATTTCAGCAACATTAAGCATTTTTTAATATAAATATCAACTCTTTGACTGCCGGTAACGAGAATTCATTTTGGACTTGGCGTTCACTGCCGCGAAAATGCATTTTCTTGTTATGAAAAAAATATTTTGTTATATAAATTCTCTAAATGATTTCATCACTGAAGCAAAGTGTAACTAAGGGTTTTTGAGTATACTGAACAACTTTTGAGTTATTTGTAAAACTCAGAAAAAGATATGACTAGAAAAATGAGAATTTGTCGAATTTATATAAATTTGTCGAATACGCGTGTCATAAAATATTTTGTTATATTAAATATATTTTTACAATGAATTAATCACTGAAACAAGATAAATTTAGAAATTTTTGAGTATGCCAAGCATAATTTTAAAGTCATATTTGCTTCTGCAAAAATATGCTGGGAGATATATGGTGAGAAAAATAAAAATTTTGTATTTTTGAACATGAAATATTTCGATTTGTTAAACTTTCAAAGTGCATGTATGAATAAAATAATAGAGATTTTGAATTTTTGGAGGAATTTTAAATAACATTTTGAAGTCTGTAGTCAAATGGCGAGTACAGGAAACAAAAATGATCAAAATTTACAATTAATTCACCAAACATAGATACATATTCTCGCACTTTTATACATATCATCTTTATATATCATACTATTTAACTATAATATTTAGATATTTTATAAAAAATCTACATTTATCGCAAACCAACATAAAATTTCAATCCAAATTCGCTATATTAGCCACTGTTTTTGGTTTATGACAATTTTTTTTAATTCGACTTGAAATTCGTCATCATCAAGAACTCCCTAATATAAACTTTCATTAATTTTCGAGGACTTTTTGTTTTCGGCACTCAAGACCAGTCGAGGAAAATAATGTGGCTATGAAAGGATTAATAAATGTGTATATTGTGTATATTGTTTTCGGGGTAATAGTCCCTCCACCGAAAAATATGTATGTATATTTCGCGATATATTGTCTCGGTATTCGGATTTTTCTATTATTTTTTTTCTTATCACAGCTTTTGATGTTTCACAGAAACTTTGTACGTTACATTTATTGTACATTATATACTATGAGACTGATAAGTATATGTACGAAAGTGAATTCTCTCATAAATGAATAAGTAAATAACTTTCCGGGAACTATCCCAGAGAACTATCGAGATTTTGGTTTCTCGGGACGATGCGTGGCTCATCGAATGTCCTTTTTTTCCACACTCACCTGTCCACAGGCAGCCGTAGAGCTCCACGCGCATGCAGACTATGCGCATGTGAGAGGTGTAGGGGATGAAGCGGATCTTGGTCGCGATTATGGCCGGGTCGAAGATTTGCTCCTTCTCTGTGTACGCGTTGTTATTGCCCGCCAGCAGCTGCAACGATACAAACGGAACGCACGTTCATTAACACTCGAGGGATCTCCGCGCTCGCGTACACACACACACACACACACACACATACGTACACACACGCGTGTACGCGTGCGGATAAAAAATGATCGGCTGCTGCGCGGAAATGCGCGGGGAGGGTTGCGGGAAAAATGCTGCAATGTCGCCGCGGAAAAAGTCGCGACTTTTGAATTCAACAACTTGTGTGTATCGCCGCTTGCATATGATATTTTTATTGAAACGAGGAGGGGATATCCTCGTGTCGGCCTCGTGTATACACAATGGGCAGGTGCGCGTTGAAAATAGTTAACTTCAGTCACATCCAGATATTTCTGTTCCGGTTGAAAAGCAGGAAAACAAGCGTATATTTCATAGCATCCGCGCGNTTTTTCCTCCCCTCCCGCCCTTCCCTCCCCCCCCCCCATTTTTTTCTCTGTTAAAAGCCGCGCGTCTCTCTCTGCCCTTCTCTCTCTTCTTTTTTTTTTAATATTCAGTATCACGAATTTTTCATACTACACAATTTTCAAAACGATACTACCGACAAAAATATGTTTTTTAATTCCCTGTCGCGACGCGCGATCCCCCTGTACGGTATTTCTCGAAAGAGCGACGCTTGTTAATATATTCTCTCTCTTTCTCTCTCTTTCTTTCTATCTTTTTTCCTCAGAAACTACATATCCGTGCACGGCTTCGATTTCTCGCTCTCGCACTTTTCCTCGATTCCACGTTGACGAGGGGGTAACGACCGGTCACGCGTAGAGCGAAAAAATCTGTGAAAGAGAAGAGGAAGAGATCGAGGCGAGCCGGGGGTGACTCAATTTTGATTCGAGCAACTCGATCCACGACTCGTTCCCGAGCCCGTCGGCGACCGGTGGCCTGGAACTGGTCATTGGAACATGTTTACAGCGCTAAGAACGAATCTCACGGGCCGGGAGCGCCCATTTTCCGGATCCGATTAGTAAACAACGGTTCGCCGGCGTGAGAGACCTCCTCTAAATGTAAATGCAAGCGTTAAATCTGGACCGAAGCGGCGACGACGGCGTAGTCTCGTCCTCTCTCTGTGCCTGCCACGCGCGGCCGACGTGTACACACGTTCTCGTTGCCGTCGCAACGTATCGCGTCGTATCACAGCCGCACCGAAGAGACGCACATACGTACGTACGTAGGTCAGCAAGCTCCGTCGACGAGGACGGGGTTAACGGTGAGATACAACGAACACTATGCGCTCCGCGTCGTCCGGCAAAGATCAGAGCTCGTATTCTGAACGCGTATCGAGCGCTCGATATACACTGAGAAACCCATTTAGTCGACTTATACGAAATGCTTGTTCGGATATGAGCAAGCAAACGTTTCGGTTGCGAGAACCAAAATTTGCTTCTCCGAACCTTTTTCATTTTCGCTTCGGAGAACTTTGGTTCTCACCTTTCGCACCTTTCTCACCTTTGGTTTTTACCTTCCGCAAGGTATTAAAAGACCTTTCAGTGATGTTTGTCGCGCATGATTGAGCCAAAACGCTCGATTGTGAAGTCGAGGAATTTTCATTGCATTCATTTCCATAAAACATTGCTAATACTTTGCCATTAGTTTTTAATTGCAGAACATGTATTGTAGCTTTTTGTGGGATATAGATTGTAACATATCGGTTTCTTTATTTTTATGATTTTTATGATTTAATTGTTCCTCTTTGCCAAAATTTAAGGGTAGCCAAGCGCTCTCTCTGCCGTTCCTACGCCCATGCTTGAAATTCAAAGAGCATACTTAGCATGTACTATAAATAAGAACGTCTTATAAATTAGCGAAGAAGAATAATCAAAACCAATTTTAACTATATATTTTACATTATTATTATGTCGGATATTTTGCTACTATGTATATATATATACCCGATAGTTTTAATTTTTCTTCATATAGAACGAAACATTACTTCGAAGAAACTAACGGAGCAGCACACTTTTCCTTTGCCAAATTCTCAGCAACAAATGAGCAACAAATGAAGATATTAGTTAGAATTGCTTCACCTTATTTTGTCCCATCAACTTATTAGATGTAAATTAAAATATCTGGGGCCCTATTCTGGGCGCATATTAATTAACAAATATGTCTTTCCGATTCCTCAAGCTGGAACAGCGTTATATATAAAACACTCATATAAAGCAAATAGGGCATGGAATTGAAAGGACGTACTTAGCCTGCGCCACACATCCCAAATAAGACCCTCGTAACTCTATTCTGGATGGAGCGTTAAATATACCTTTCTGAAGCTGAAAAAGCGTGAGAAGAAAAGTGACGTTCCCAGAGAAATGAAACTTGGAATTAATAGGGCGTACCCGTTTCGCACGATCCGAAATAAGGCCCCAGAGCTGACGAGGTCGTTCGCACCCGGCCGGGGCCGAGGGCGGGGGTTGTTCGAGAAGCGGGCCTCTTAAATTCGGCACACGCGCGTATATTACCGCGTACGCTGATAGAACACGCTAAGGGATAATAATGCCGTAGCTACATTGTTCGCCCGGAGCGCCGTGTAATTCACTATCCGCGCGCGCGCTTGTGTATCCGCGTTCTGTTTTGCATTCTGGCCACTCGGACGGATTAGCGGTTCTCATCTGCCCGCCTCTGCCTGCCTGCCTGTCTGCCCGTTACGTCCGCAACGTCGCGCGGTTTTCTCCCCGCTCCGCTTCCCCTCGCGTGACCGTTAATCGGAACAATCGTCGGCGGCTAATTTACTCGCGGGCGATTCCCGCGAAAGAAATCACTCACCGTAATCAATCGTGGGCTTCGTCATCGCCCTTTCCGCTTCCTCCCGCAGTTGATGCATTTGCATCGGTATTTCGCCTTTTCGACCCCCGCTTTTTGTTCAGGCATTTCAAATACGTACGTGACTCTTCTGCTCAGTTTCGCCCGTTCTATTTGCACACCACGGGAACCGGGATTAGTTTGGGACGCCCTGTATAGTACAATTGTGACAGCTTGATGATGCGTCAAAGGCTACATTCGTATCGACTTGAGGCGAAACTTCAAAAAATGAATTTTGCCCAAGAAATATCTATCTCAGACTACTGTGCATTAGTGCCAATGCAATTCCTATTGGATGAATTTTCCTCATACTCTCATATTTCGAAGACGTTCCACGCGGTAATAGTTATTGCCCTACTCTGTATGGCGCAACGGGATCGAAAGGGTTAATTAATCGACTCGTAGGATGCATACGGAGCAAGGAATGCTGTTGTATCAATAGAATGGTCAGCAGCGCCTAATTGGAGTAAATCTTCTTAATTCTCAATGGCAATATCATTGAAACGAGTACCGGAGTTATTGAAACAATGTGTGCGATGTATCTCAAGAATATCTCCATCGAATCGAGATTTACCCCAATTATGGTCGATCAACCCTACTGGCACAGCAGCATCCCTTCTCCGTGTCGCGCATCTCTTCGAGTTCACGCTTCAAAAAGCTCCAAAATTTCGACGTTCTTTTCACGCAATCTCGCAGGATTCTTTCAAAGCTGAAATACAACGAGGGCCGAGTCAAGTTTGCGATCGGTGACGCGCACATTCGCGAACAAGCAAGAGGCTAATTGCTCCTCGCGGAACAAAGCGATCTGTGTTTCGCCGCTGCATTCTCTCCTCCCCCGCGTAGCCTGCTTGTCATTCGCGTTAGAACGAAGTAATCTGTATCCCCGTGCGGATTGTAGAATCATATGGTCATAGAGGGAGAGAACGATACCGCATCGGATCGTCCAAACACGCCGACAGTCGTCATCACGGACGGGGAGCAGATCAGCGGGTCCACGTATGTAAATATGAATATTCGCGCGATACCAGCCGCATCTCTCTCTCATCCTTCGTGTTGTCTATCCATCTCTCTCTCTCTCTCTCTCGGTAGGGCGAGAACCGAGAGTACGGTCTAAACACCGTGCATAAGAGGAGTAGGTATGGCGCAAACGCTAATATACTATATACAGATACGGACTGCGACCCGGGCCGGCGACCATCGGCCTTTGCTTTGATTTGTGTTAGGGGCGGTAGCGGCGATGGTAGTAACGGTGATGGTGCGATTAGAATTTCTAACCAGGAATCTGTTATTTCGCGTTAATCATATAAAGCGGCCGAAGTATCTGATGTCCACCGCCGGTCGCCGAGATAGAAGCGGACCGGTCGAAACTCAGGACGCGCGCGAACGAACGAACGAGTGGGACGGATGGAGGAGCGGAGCCGGCGGGCGCGCCGTGTCGGAATTTCATGATTACAGCACGTAGCGGAATATTCCGCGTATATGCCGGCGCTGATAGTTATTTACCCTTCGTTCGTTTATTTTAGATATATGCACGGACCCCGATATATCCTGGACGTCGATTTCGCCCATGTGTGTGAATGTGTGTGTGTACGCGCCGGGTTCGCAGGGAAATTCGTAAAAATAATACGTAGCGCGACAAAGCCGGGTTAATTAGGCGACGACTTGAGACGGTTGTACCGATGCTCGGGATGTCATCGCGCGAACGACGGTGAGCTCGGGATTTTGATATTTTCGCCGACGGAGAGCAGTGGTAGCTCGCGTACCGTTCGACTCGTAAACGGAGAAGGTGAAGAGAAATTTATAAAAGTAATATATAACTGGATTGGTAGCTGAGAAAAAAAGTGCTACCGTTCAAATGATATTCATGCGATCCGAGTAAAATGGTTACTCCAATACTTCTTGACGAATACTTGGCGGAAGTGGGAATATATAATTGACCTTATATATAATATGTTTCCTTCATATAAGTAAATATTTACTTATATTTTATTAAAACAATTGCGACAAGCGTTAAAAGAACACATTTTATATTTTCGTGTCGATTACCGTCTTAATTTTGTGTTCGTTTTCGACAATCTTTTTTCTCTCAACGTGTTCATCCCGCGTTAAATTAACACGGAAAACTTGCGGATCATTTGGGAAACGTGAAGTGTGTTAAATTTAACCAAATTTTTTACCATGAGGAGAGAAGTTAA